ATCTAAGCGGATCTCATCGAGCGCGTGGTGACCACCGAGGTGACTTTCACAAGATAAAATACGACCGACCCGTGCGTTGAGATCCCCAGCAAGGACAACAATATCGAAGTTGCAGGCTCCGCTCAATAGCTGGTGTAGTTAATGACAAAAATTGTCCTCAACCGAGTCACAACTGCAGTCATTTTGAGCGTACACGGAGATCACAAACAAGTTGCGTCTCTCCTCGCGGTGTCGGTTGATCCCGTATTATCCACCAAGTCGAGCTGTACACAGTCGGCTAGTAACCGGGATCCGGTTTAGCAATGTGACATCGGCTTTGCTACTCAGTGCTACACTAACACCAGCCAAACGTACCGCGGCTCCTTCTTTGCCACTGGGTAGACTTAAGCGAAATATGGCTCACAATCACAGTATTGGGATCTTGCGAGCGTGTTTCCGAAAGACAGCAATCATCGATGGTGAGGGATTCCAAAGTGCGCGCGAGACCAGCCTGCTGTCCAATGTGCATGAGTGCACATTCCTTGAAGCATACTAAGCGGAACGACCATCGAGGCCGAAGGAGGGCAACGGGGCCAACTCTGTGGTCGTAAACGAAACCATCGGGAGTAGAATCATGGGAACAGGAATCAGCTGGTAACGTATAACATTTATTGATCGATTCACTCCAGTTAGTTGGAATGGTTTGTTACTTCCAGACATGTTCGGACGGGTTGCTCATCACTACCTTTAAATAGTGCAGGTGCGACAGAATGCGGGCTAGAAGTTCGAAAACTACTAACGGCTGTGATCGCGTTTCGGGTCTCAGCCTATGACAAGCCTCTAAATGATCGGCCATGGTTTAACCTGCACCAACTGTGTTGGAAGATGTTCGAGAGCAAGGGGCTAACTTGCTCTCGAAAGTGATCCGCTTAAGGAGCTAACCGGAGACAGCGCACCCGCGCTGTCTCTGACGCTTGGTTCCCTGGGATCAACGTTACGGATCAGGTGAAAAAATGCGTTAATTACCTAGAGCTCATGCCACCACCATTTCTTGGACCCTACTAGTCCACCAGCTTTTCTTGTAAGCATGTAGGCTCCGCTTTAGTTTGCGCATAATAGTCCTTCTGGTTACATTGTGCTCAGAGTCAACCGGAAAGTTGCTTGTAGAATCCCACAGGTTCACCGACCTCTCGGATATCCAGTGTGGTGACGACTGATAGTATCAGAAGCAGACTCCTGTGCCGTGCATAGCGGTCGTGACCCTATTCCACTGATACTGTCATTTGAGTTAGAGAAAGGAAGTTCGGCACGCACGGCATTCTAGTGGGTTTGACCGAGGGCTGGGATAACTTCTCAGTTGCCAATCATGGGATAGGCTTGCATCGCCTCCCGGTAAAGTTTATGGAAAAGTGAATGCGTACCAGAGCATGCTCAGAGTCGATGCAGGTATTCCAGAACGAGTGGCAATCCAATTTAGTACCATGCCACCTGTAATTTACGGCAACATGATCCATTTTGGCCCACTATAAGTGGACGTTAAGCGGCACTTAGGAGCATAAAAACGGTGCCGCTAAGAAACAGTCGGTGTTCCGCGCACAGTTGCAACAGACGTTCGCCGCTCTCGTTTAGGCGGTTAAAGGCCATAATTACCGCCAAGCTGAGCTTCTGAAGGCTCCAGACAAACTACTTGCGTATTCATGTATCGGACAACAACAATGATATCCGAAATGGAAATGCTAAGAAACAGTGTGATCATTTCGCGGTGGAAAATGGCCTTCGCATCAGTACGACTGCAGTCAGTGGGAGTATAAACGGAAATCATAAACAAACAGCGTCTAGCGACACCCAGTGAATCAATCTTTGTTGATGTCGTCAAACGGACTGTACATAAACAGCTCTTTCAAGGAAAATACATTCGACCAACGATGAATCAGCCCTGGAGCTGAGAATGATGCCCACCCCAACATGGCCAGTGGTTGCCGCATCAGCGACTCTGGATCCATACAACCCATAGCGAGAGGACAAGCCAGTCGCAGTTAATTCAAAAATTACGTGCGTGACTGATCTTAGTTTTGGACACGCAACAAAGGTTAATACCCAAAGGGTCAAAGGTACGTGTGATTGCTGCCTGTTTACTTATTTGTCTTAGTGTGCGAACGTTGAACGCCGCCGCGGCAACAGGACAGCGTGCTCTTATAAGGAGCTGTTGCCGATAGGCGTCCAGTTGGTGATGCGGGAAGGTAGCTGCAGATGGGTCGGCTCCAGTTGGATTACGGGTGCTGTCAATTAGGCTGGCAACTATAGAAGGAATGTAAGTAATGGGGGTTGGGATGAGAGCAAGAGATGAAAAAGAAGAAGAAAGGCACCAGTGGTAGCATGTTTTCGCTTCTCCGCCCTGCTGCATGCAGCAGATAAAACGAGTCTTGTAAAGCTGCGAAACGGCCGATGTTGGAAGTGATGGAATTTTGATGAAATAACCATTGTTATTAAACAGATTTTTTCGATCACAAAGTGCTGGTATTGCTCTTCCCATTAGTATATGAATGGAACAATGGTGTATTGTCGGTAAAAAAAACAAGTGCTTGACAACTCCTGTGAGGTGGCCAGGACGAGAAGCACAAAGTGAAAAAGAAAATGTGGTAGCGTTTTGGTGGGCTCACTACAGTGTTTGCACTGAGACATGCGTAAAAGTGCCTACTTAAATTGTGTAGTCTAATGCTATTTGGTGCACCGTTTGTCAGGTTACGTGGACTCCAGATGTACATGGGCCGTATTTCGTAATGTAGTTGAGTAAAAGCAAAGTCAAAGCGTTCTTTTGAATACATACAACACGTAGGCGTAAAGCACAAAATCAGGGTATTGCATGGCTGGCACACACAGAAAGTGTAAAAATTCCAGAGACATTCTAGGCGGGTGCATTACGTAGACGACTTGCACTGGTGACATCTGAAGTTCGTATTGCGACTAAGTTGAAATAGGTGGCGGTAGACGTGATTGGGTTTCCTAGAATCTAGTAGGTCGTCATTAGGTGGCCCCATGGACGCCGCCACTGACCAGTGTATAATCTTAGGGTCATGTGACTAAGTTGACAGGGAATGTGGAACAATCTTTTGATGTGCTTGGTGGCCCTCGTTGTGGAGTCTCGAGCGCTGCGAGATCTTGCTTACATTAGGACCGCCAGGCTGCGATAGCGTATTTCACATTTCGCTAAGTTTGTTCATAGTGAAGCGGGTTTACTGTCCAACAACTGCACAACTGATCCACCAGCACTTCGTACTCATGAGAACGTCCGCGAAAAACACTAAACATTTTTATTAAGTCCGCTGTCCGCAGAGAGTCCCGTCGGTGTCTGGAAACCCTGGCGGCCTTACATTGGTTCCATAAGCATGGTGGTTGAGTGGAAAGGTGGACTAGTTTAAACGAGCTGCTGGAGAAAAATTAATGAACCTCCGCAAAAATATGGATAGCATGCAAGAAGAGCGGACCGAGCGATTGGTGGGAAAAAGGCGATATGAGATAACAGTAAGGGAAGCTTCAAAAGGTGCAGCACAGGGACTGGAGGTTAGCATAAATTCAGTTGATAGTAACAATCGTCTGAGATTTACTGAAAAGTAAACAAAGTCAGCCGTTCTGACGAATAAGAAAACAGGTTAACTTGTTTTGTTTTCGTTTCCAAGAAATAAAAAACCAATTAGGAGCACAAAAGATAAACTAAGTAGTACGTGGTGACAATAATAAAATCCGAAAGAACAAAAGTGAAACACGCACAGAAAGAAGAGGTGAGCATAATGGGGAAATACAACACAAATGCTGAGTGGAAAGCTAGCAGTAAAAAACACGAGGCGTTGCTGTGCTCTCGACCGATTCTCGTTCCAAATTGTCTCTAACCACTGATGTGCCTTATTCTGGGGCCTGAATCCAATTCAACGACATGCGACAGTTCCATCACGTTCCTCGGTGCATTTCTACATGCTATTCCGCCACTCCAACGACTCGTTACTCTGAAGCTTCCACAAAACAGTGGGAAGCAGTATGCCAAAACAACACAAACCGGGACATACGGTTCACCTGTAAGCGCGATGGCCCGTAGCCTTAAGCCAGCACGTATCATAAAGGACCACAAGTCTGCCTTGTAATCCAGAGGCGACGGGTTCGAGTCTGCGTGGGAACCGGGCGACCCATGCAGTGTCCATAGCCCATGTGTGATTGGTGGTGGTTGAATGATAGCGAGGACTCTGTACTGCGTATCGCCGCTAATGTTTGTGAAACGCACCACGAGTAATGGCATTCAGCGATGAGGATCACATATCAATCTTTTAACGATTAATGACCATGAGTACGCGATACGTTCCACTGCCCACACTTCAACGACTGGGCAACAACCCGGGGACACAAATATCCCGTTACTCGAATGACAAAAAACGACGACGTCATCTTTTGACGGTTACAATGCGAATGCTTCTACACTTAACAATGAAATCTTAACATGTTTACGTAATCAACAATGCTATCGGCTACTGAAGAGAGCAAGAGATAACCTGTTGCGGTCTACAGTAATCCGGCAAGACGTAGCTGGATACCAAGATCACAGTCCAACCGAGGAGTTTAGTTAATGGGTAGTCCGTTCGACGTAAGTTACATTCACTTCGTGTGGCATCCAGCGATGACGAAACGGTGAACACAGGTAGGTGAATTCCCCAAACGCCATGAGTGCGCAGCTGTCCTATCTGAACGCGATCTACAGGAGTCGAATCCCTCTGGCCAAGGGTGATCATCAAAAATTGATGCAGCGAACTGTGTGACAATGGTTTTCGATTTGCACACAAAAACCGTGGCGATAGCTAGGGTAATGAGCGTGTTGGCAATTGAAAAATTAAGAGCTATCGGCCAACAAGATGGAGCCGTGGCATGTTACCAATGTCCCTTAAATAGCCAACCTTTGTATGCGAACGATGACAGTGATACACCAGTGTGCCAAAATGGTTAGTCGGAAAGGTTAATACAACTATGTACGTAATTACCTTGAGGTGAAGAGCCGTTTGCTGCAAATTCCACAGGGTTAGCATACTGTGTGTGTTGGGCTTGCGGATTGGCTTCAGAGGGGTGTAGTGCCTTCATCGGACCGCTGGAGCTGTTAGGGGGTATGCTGTGAGCCAAGCGCTCTCTGTGCAGCTTTAGTCTACGTGCGGTGGGCATAGTGGAGTACTGTTTGTCCACATCTGAAAAAAACAAGTATCGGCTGCGTTCCACTAAGAGGGTGGTGAATAAGAAACTGCATTAGCACGAAAAATGCATTTCAGCTAAGCTTATGATGAGAGGAGCGTGCGAAAGGACAAGGAAAATCGCGAGGGCTGAAGTACTGACAATCTTAGGCTATAAGGATGAATTCGAGAGACAAGATAATGAGTGCCTGACACACCACTGGTCTCGTACTTGCGTTTACATGATATGGGGAACCTCAAAACGCGGATGTTGATAGTAATCGTGGTCAAGACAGTACTGGTAAGAAGCACACAGACGACCGAGATAAGTAAGAAGTATTTCTGTTTGTGCAGCAACCGCGTGGTCCAGATAGATGACGAAACAAAGTGTCCATGAGCTGCGGTAATGTGGCCGATTTCCCCATAACTCATGCGATATTCGCTTTCATCATCTCAGAGAAAGAATAATGGTGGACAACGTGGTGTATAAAGACACTACTTCAGTGCGCTATTTTGCGTCTAAGATGGCATTCAGACATACCAGTGAGGCACCGCTGCCTCTGTTTCGATGCAGGGCGGATATTAGCGCTACAGCCCCAATACTGCTAGCATACTGAGAGTCCACACTGGATATAATCCACACGGAGAATCTTAGTACGAGTTACGATGTATGTATGGTTCGCAAAGACCATAAAAACCAGGGCACTGCAACTTGGAAAGAAAATCCAATCAATCGGCTCCGGGGTGAACTAACCGTCCATCCAGACTACTACTTAATATATAGACGTTTAATGCGCTGAGGAAGTTGCTCAGCTGTTCCTCTAGTTCGCGAATAAGTGTTAGCGGGGTCAAGTGATATGTAATAAATGTAGTCCGGTAGAGTGCAGTCCTACAGTTGTTGATACCAAGTGGGTGTAGAAATAAACGCAACTACCAATTCGTCTGTAAGCAGGACGGAATCATCTATATTCCGCCTCCACTGTATTACCACAATCCAGAAGTTGGACAGGATGTTTTATCGTGACCTCCAAAGGCGAAACTCAAAAACTCAGGAGAGAGGACTTTACTGATAGATTATTAAACAGCGGCGGACATCTAGACGTTTAGTTTTTTGTTAAGGTTTTCATCCCAGCAATTCACAAGCTTCGTAGCACAACCTAGTCCGGAAAAGCACCAGACGCGTCTCACCCTATTGGGGCTCGTCAGTGGTGCGGATTCCTTCGGTCATCTAAGGAGGATCGAACCCATGACCACTAGAAGCAGATGCCAACTAACCAGCAGCTTAAGCCAGTGAGCCATGGGGGGACGTTGGCCGGGCTACAGCAGTTGCAAACTAAATGGGATATAGCACCACCTACATCCTTGTGCACATTAATTGAAACAAACTACGATTGTGTATCTTTTTCTATGAATATCATGTTTTTATACATGAAAGCTGCCGTTTTGCATTTATTTTTTTATTTTATTTTGGAAATAGATATTTCATCATTGTTTGTGAATCAGACGATGTAATAACTGCGCATGTATAGTCGTTACATCACCCAAGATTGCATCATACTTTTTATGGTCAGTAAGATTTTTGTTTCAACTTCTTGTTTTTTGTGATTCAGTCATTGTTTGAGATGGACGTGACTCCCAGAAGGCGCATGAAGATCGTGACCTTGCACGAACACACAGACAAGACCTACAGGGACATAGCAAGTATAGTAGGCGTCAGTCCGGCAACCGTCAGCCGTGTGGTCAAAAAGAAAAAGGAAACGGGATGCATTTCGCCAAAACGCAAAGGGAAAAGTGGTCCTGAGAGGAAAACCACTGCCATGGATGACGCTTACCTAATATGGGAAAGTGTTAAAGATCCTCGAAAGACTAGTGACGCATTAAAACGTGATTTGGGGGAGAAAGGAATAGAAATCAGTTCTTCAACGGTTCGCAGGCGACTCCTGGAAGTTGGTCGGAAAGCCAGACGACCTGTGAAAAAACAACTTCTGACAAAAGTAATGAAAGTTAAGCGTTACAAATGGGGACTAAAATACAAAAACTGGACAAAAGAAGATTGGAGAAAAGTCCTATTCAGCGATGAAAGCCATTTCTATGTTCATGGTCAGAAAAGTCAGTATGTTCGGAGGTCAGAGGGAGAAAAGGTTCGTGATTCCCACATTGACCACTTTGTGAAACACCCACAAAAGCAGATGTTTTGGGGGTGCTTTAGTTATTACGGCGACGGCGCCTTGCAACCAGTCCAGGGCATGATGCGCTCTCCACAATATATAGAAGTTCTCCAAAGAAGAGCTGTTCCAGAACTAAAAAAGACATTTCCTGACGGATCTGGCGTATTTCAACATCTTGGGTCCCTGTACCAAACTTGAATTAAAGCTTGAATAAGTTTCTCCTTTGTCGTACAGTCCATGCCACGAAGGCGTTGCTTGCAAATAGACCACATATTTTCAATGGGGTTTAAATCTGGTGAATTCCCAGGCCAGTCCAAGATGGTTATTTGATTAGTATTGAAAAAAGTCTTGACCATTTTTCATGTGTGGCACGGGGCCAGATCCCGTTGAAGAACTGATTTCTATTCCTTTCTCCCCCAAATCACGTTTTAATGCGTCACTAGTCTTTCGAGGATCTTTAACACTTTCCCATATTAGGTAAGCGTCATCCATGGCAGTGGTTTTCCTCTCAGGACCACTTTTCCCTTTGCGTTTTGGCGAAATGCATCCCGTTTCCTTTTTCTTTTTGACCACACGGCTGACGGTTGCCGGACTGACGCCTACTATACTTGATATGTCCCTGTAGGTCTTGTCTGTGTGTTCGTGCAAGGTCACGATCTTCATGCGCCTTCTGAGAGTCACGTCCATCTCAAACAATGACTGAATCACAAAAAACAAGAAGTTGAAACAAAAACCTTACTAACCATAAAAAGTATGATGCAACCTTGGGTGATGTAACGACTATACATGCGCAGTTATTACATCGTCTGATTCACAAACAATGATGAAATATCTATTTCCAAAATAAAATAAAAAAATAAATGCAAAACGGCAGCTTTCATGTATAAAAACATGATATTCATAGAAAAAGATACACAATCGTAGTTTGTTTCAATTAATGTGCACACGGATGTATCTTTCAGTGTCACTGACAGTGGTTAACCTGCGAAGTGATGCGTCCCTCTCACTAGACGCATATATATATATATATATATATATATATATATATATATATATATATATATATATATATAGCATTTTGAAACTAGGAGAGGCCATTTTATTTCATATTACTGGTAAGTAGCAGGATTTTGGTTTGGAGGACCGAGGGAATGCGGGCCACTGACGGGCCCCAATAGGGAGAAACGGGTCTGGTGCTTTTCCGGACTAGGCTCTGCTATGTAGCTTGCGAACTACTGGGAAGAAAACCTTAACAAAATAGCAAGCAAAATCCTGCTGCTTACCAGTTTAGAAGTTTATCTATAAATCAAAATGGAGGCTTACATGCGCTGTTGAACCGGTGATGTCGTTCCGCCGTGGCAACCTAAGTAATTCTGTAATGAAAGCTGTGCATGAAACCCTTCCATCAGTGTTGCTGAATAGGTCACCCTGTTTCTGGCTGCTATTCATAACTTGCCAGAGTGCAATGAATAAATATCTCCAGATTGCCCTGAGCTGACTGTTATCTCCAACATTAAAAGTGACGAATGGATGTCATGTGAGAACCCGTGAACAGTTTGCCGCTTTCAATTACATTCAGATCGCTCACTCTACTGCGAGGTAGTGGCAGTTATCCGTAGCGGTGGATAATACAATAATTAAATAATTTCAAATTATTTCAAGCTATAACAGAGACACATATATAAACGGTTCGCCATAATCTACCCTAACTGCAATATCCTTTTTAATACAGCTGACCGAGCGTATCTATGGTGTGCGCTATTTGAAAGATGTGTCATAAGAATGCGCCTAACTGTGAAACCCCTTTGTCGCGTAAAAGTCGAATCCACGACAAGTGTAGTGAGTGCTAGCTGCGCTGCTCTACGATTCAACTTTGTACACGAAAATAATGATAAATAACATCGATTCTTGTATTTCTTCCACGATAGAGGTTTCACCAGGTGACCGTCGGATCATTTCAAGTCTGACGCACGCGTTTCTGGACAAACTAACACCGAATGCCGCACGGTTCAACATGTGAACCCCGGCTAAAATTGTGCAACAGGGCAAAAAAACAACGGAATTGTACTGTCACTCAGTAGTCATTTGACTTTGCCTCAATACCCTAGAAAACAATGCCATTGAGAGCAGTTGTTGTAGGATCTGACTGAGAATCGTGGAGATATTATTATGAGATAGGCGGAACAACTCGGATTATCGATGGTCTCAAGTAACATATCTGAGACGGTCGTAGGCAGTGAATGTATACCCGAAATTTACTACTAAGTGGGTCACTGAATTGATGCGAAGGACCGAAAGAAAGTAAACAACAGAAACTGTATAGCATCATCGGGGTTCAAACGTTAGGTAAGGTAAGTTTTTCAAACGTGGGGACGCTCCCGCTAAATACGGAATCTTGAGAGAGAAAAATAAACGATTTCTCTCCAGACCCTATCGAGGATATCGAGATTGACTCTACCTGTTTGCTAACAATCAAGTTGTCTGCTATTGTCAGAGAGCTTGAGCAAATAGGAGTACACTACAAAGTTAAACGGATCAAAGAGGTATGCAACGTGTGACACCAACATTTTTATCGCAACAAGTAAAGTGAAAGGTAGAAAAAAGCTATAGATAAGGGGGCGTCTGGGTTCAGTGTGGTAGTCTACATATCTCTGTATGCAGGAAAAGTCTAGAAAGACGTCTTTGAAAACTGCCGCTCAATGATTTGATTTAAAGTACTAATACGGGGAATAAATTATACGTTGTGGCAATCACTAGTGATTCACAATGGGGCTATACTCTGATGCGTCAGTGGAAGCTGCATGCTTGTCCAAAGCATCCAAACATCAAGTTAACAACCATGTGATAACGAGTTGCGAAGAGCATGTGCTTATTCGCAGCATATTCGCTTCAATGGATATGAAAAACGTAATTGCTGTCCATCTGTAAATCCTAATCTGATGTGGAAGTGTATGCAGGACAAAGGCAGATCAGAGATCGCAAACCAGGACGCCTCATATATAAACACAGCCAAAGAGAGACTTTTCGACATACAGAGTGGACATAAATCGAGATGACAAAATACGTCACATGCCTGTAAGCTGTGCCGGTATTACGGCTTTCGATGGAATGCACCTCTGATGACTTTATTGGAAACGAATGATTCAGACGATTACTGTTTGGAACAGAGCCCGCTTATACAAAAGGTTGGCAGAATCACTAAGTATAACCAAAAAAACATCCTGAGGAGATTACACAGAGGGGAACCTACTTGAGAAATGGAATGAAAGAAATTGGCTGAAAGGAAACGTCAGTGTTTAGAAGAGTAGAGAGAGAGGCAGCACTGGATGGCGATTTCTTAAGATGGTCACCAAATCACACATAGGATGATGCAGTAAACCAAAAAGATAAGGAGAGATAGAAACCAGCAATGAAGAAGCAACAACACATACCTTCAGGCATTTTGTAGCGAGCTGGTAGGATATTTGTCTGAAAAAAAGAGAATTGTGATGGATCAAGGTGACCATGACGCTTTTCCGACACACTTCTTCGTCCTAATCCTTCTCGTTCGAAACAGGAACGGCCGGATGTCCGTGGTGGGACAGAGAGGTACCGAGGATAGGAGCTAGGATCCATGTCTGACACCAGTTCCGCTCTGTGGGAGCGACCATCGGATGCATCATCAAAAGCCTCGCTGCAAATGGACGTGCGTCTTCTTCTGCAATCTGTTACCGATACTTGATTTGAAGCAACTTGAGATGCATCGTTTTCGAGGTCTCCCATGGTAACTGAGGTGGAACGCCTGTTGAGATGAAAGGTAGAAGTCGGAGTAGCCAGTGGACGGCGTGAGACATGAAACAACAAAAGCGAAAGTAGTAAATGCAAGAAGACACAAACATGGTGGTGTAAAACATCGGTGGTGATGGTCATCGACATTCGGCATCAGTTACTGTGAAGAAAGTGAACCCCAAATGCTTCAATGCAACCTCATGACTGACCTGTAAGATGACTGACGGATCTCATCGAGATTCTGCGGACTGAAACGACAGTATCGATGCACCGTGAGGCTGAACGTTCGTGGCCCACATTCCAAACTGTTTGCAAGAATCTGCTTAACGCGCTGACTGACAGCCTGTAGGGGAATGTATGATCGAACGGAAAGTGAGCGAAAACTAGACACAATATTCCCTAACATGACCCTGAAACATCAATCCCTTATAAAAGAACTGTCCTACTCCCACGATTTGGTGGCGCATACCTTAGTTAAGTGAAACTCACTGCGCGTGAAACATGCTGAGAACAACGAGTAGGTACAAAAAACTGCTAGTCGATATGACAATGTTCGGTTCAGATCACTTGAGCACCGAAGTGCGGTGGATCCAGTTGCCACGACTCACACCACAAGTATAACAATAAATAAGAATTGCAAGATAGTGGGGTTAATTGCAAATAGAATGTAAAGAAATTGGAAGCAAGAAGGAGGTACGTTAGACTAAGCAGAATGGAACAATAAGTAACAACAAGATGCAAGAAACCGATTACAGGAACGTCACTGACAGCTTGACTGCGCCACGTCTGACAGGGTCTTCAACGATTGATGTGGACCATCCGGAGCCCCCCATCTCCGAAAACGGCAAGCACCGGCCTGAGCAAGTCTCTTAGTCACTTTCGTTATGCCTGTATGTTACGTCATCGGCTGGCAACTTCTAGGCAGTGGAAGCTACCCTCATACCGTCAGAGACAATGCGTGGCGCTCGTGCTCTACGCCAATTGAGCTGAGAACTTATAACCCGTAGACCTTTTGTCTCTCATGGCTATGTTTCAAATGAAGAGAGCCATCAAACTCTACAAAATTCCCGAAGAGAATTGTGTGTGAGTTAACGTGACCCTTAACGGTCGATCTGAAGGTACTTACAGAGTACCAGCCAGAACAGCTAAGTAGGTCATGGACGTAAGCAAACAATCGCAACACAAAATCCCAGTCTCGCTGCGATGAGATATGACAAGGTAAAATGAGACGAAAGTTGCTGGGAATAAAGCTGAGTTAATGAGGGAAATAGAGAATACCTAGGTGGCGTAGAACTCAGTCCTTCGAGGACAACCGGTTTATGGGGAGTACACCAAGAAACAAAAAACAGTATAGTTCGATTACATGCGGCTTCATTTATATTGCCTAAAATACACACTAACTAACGAAACAGCTTCATCTTTACTACAGATAAACAAAAGTCAGCGGCCCTCGCCCAAACAACGGAGCTTCCGCGGCCAACAGACAAGATTGTCCGGTTCGCATACGATCGCCTACCTTGCAGGTCTCATAGGCACAACTGCTCCATCTGACACTGTTTAATTAACGCTTTCAAAACATCAACAAGCAACATCTAACAAAATGCACTGAATGTTGCAGGATCTTTATCAAATGTTGATCAGGTAGAAGAGATTCACTGAATTTTAAAGATATAGAGTTCCAGATGTGCTTGTCACTGCGGTCACATGAGGCTAGCGAAAAGGCGGGACCATGGGTGGGCTTGCGCTGCACTACGCACACACTCCATATGCAGTGTAAACCCGAAGGAATAAAACCGGAAGGCATGTGGATGGGAGCTACATTTCATCGACGGATCAGGACAACACATATACAACATGCACACCAGCACAATTTCTGTCTATCTACTTTGGGAATAAATGCGTAACAGAGGTAAACGAGACAGTGGCTGGGTCGTAGCTGGTACTAAACTGAATAAATGAAACCACTCTTTAAGCCTAGCGGAACCTATAGCAGTGCTTTCTAACCTTTTTGAGATTGTTGCCCACAACACGGACTCACTATAAACAAGTACACACACAAGGTTTAGCTTAAATAGCTATTACAAAGACGCATGGACAGATGGGCTGAGCCCTTCCAGTTGTAGTTCAGTTGTTCCTCGTCATGCACCTTTACACTCAGTACACCCAGTCGCATGTCATGGTCAGTGCCACTCGAACCATCAACCGAAGCGGAGGCTTGTCTTGAGACTCGTCACTTGAAGAGTTTCAAGCCGGCCGGCTCAGATGAACTTCCCGTAGACTTGTTCAAACACGGCGGTACAGCAGTCGTCAAGCAGCTTAAATCCTTGTTTCTGAAGATCTGGCAGGAAGAAATGGTCCTCTCTTCCTGGGGGGAATCAATCAGTGTTCTAATCTTCGAGAAAAAATTTCACACTTCGTGTGCCAATTACAGGGGCATTAGTCTGATATCTGTTGTCTACAAGTTACTAGTATCCATCACGCTCCGCAGGTTATCCCCCACTCGTGAGTCACATTACAGGGAGGAGCAGGATGGTTTTCGCCCCGGTCTAGGATGTGTGAATCAGATTTTCACTTTTCGCCAACTCCTGGAGCATCGTCACCACTACCGCAGACTCAATATTGCAACTTTCCTGGATATTCGGGCTGCGTTCGACCCACTAGATAGACCTGCCTGCTGAAGAATGGAGTTCCGAAAAACTACATCGCCATACATCGCGCGCTATACCTCCACACTTCAGGCCGAGTGAGAGCCTATGGCACGCTTTCTCTACTCTTCCCTGTCTCCAGTGGCGTGCGACAAGGATGCCCAATGTCACCGTTTCTATTCAACTTTGCGATCGACGATGTCCTTTTGGGAGCTTTAGAGGGCCTGCAGAACTTCGGCATCGAGCTTCTTCCAGGTAATCGCGCGACCGACTTAGACTACGCTGATGATATCGCCTTGCTCGGTGACGACCCCCATGGGATGCAATCCTTCATTGATCAATTGGTGATTAGAGCGTCTAAGCTTGATATGTGCTCCGCCCCTCCCAGTGCAAAGTTCTTCTACAGGACTGGCAGGCCACCCCTTCCCCAATTCACCATCGAAGGCACACAGCTCGAACACGCAGATGGTTTTATCTACCTAGGGAGTTGCGTCTCTGCCGACGGCGCTATTGGAGCAGAGGTATCCCTTTGAATTGCTAAAGCCCAATCAACATTTGCCAACTTAAGACATTTGTGGCGTCGTCGCGACATGTCACTCTTGCAAAAAGCCAGGGTTTACAAAGTCTGTGTACGCGAGACATTGCTGTACGGATGCGAATCCTGGCCGATCTATGTGGAAGACATGCGTCGTCTTTCGGCCTTCGACAGTACCTGTTTGCGGATGACTGCCCGCGTGCGTTGGCAACACCGAGTGTGTAATGATGAGGTTAGACACTGCGTCTTGGGTAAGGCGGATGTTCCGCTATGTGATGTCATCCGGCTGCGTCAGTTAAGAGGGTTTGGCCACGTCCTGCGCATGTCTGACAAGTGTTTACCACGCCGCGCCCTGTTTGCGCATGCAGGGTTGCTTTGGAAAACGCCGCGTGGTGGTCAAACGTCCAACTGGCAACAATGCATGAAATCGATTAGATCTAGTCAACGCTGGCCCCGACTGGGGATCCGAAGATGCAGAATGTCAATGACTCACAACACTGGAAGCAATGCAAAATCGGTTGCAGTGGAAGCAGTGCGCGCGAATCTGCCTGATTTCACGTTCACAAAACCACTAACTCTTAAAAACTGCAAATAATTACAAAATGACGTGTGTGAAACCTCAAAAGATTGTTCCCTTTTTTCATTCAAGATCAAATTCTTTCACATGTTTTGTACGTTTTAGTATTCTCAATTCCAAATTCCATGGTTAGGAATAGCTCGATGTTTAGTTTATATGTAGGTATATAAATATTACATTGATTAGCTCCTTCCTCTCCTCAATAGTACTTTGACAGTGAATAGTAATTCTGCGCCGCCGATTCACGGCGGGAGTGCAATACATAGATTTACGAAAATATATGTACAGTGTGGTCCGCACCAATTTGTAATCAGTGCCACACTCAGCTCCATGCAGTACACGTGTCATGCGCACTCCACGCTGACGTACGATGACATAGTCGAGCAGGTAAGCGTGACCACTCCGTGGGTGCGTCCATATTGCGATAGCACTCACACTCAGTGCAAACCGAGTGTTCGTGATCGTCAGGCCGTAAGTGGCACACGGTGAGAGCAGCCTGTCACCGTTCGCATTAGCTGCACCAATGCCATGCGGACCGATGACATCTGTCCACACCGATGCATCAAGCCCAACGCGCGCGTTGACATCACCTAAAAGAACTAATCAGTCGCTGTTCGGCACAGACCATATCAAGAAAAATAACTGAGTGTAAAACTGATCCTTTGTGTCATCAGCATAACACATGCTCGGATCATACGTGGTAAACTTACCTCTTCCAAGTTGCAGATGAAGAGTCATCAATCGTGGGCTGATGCCAGTCAGCTATACCACTAGCTGGTCATTTAAGCGGACGGATAGCGCAAATCCGACCCCATGTTTATGTGGTGCTGTGGTGGTGTTCCCCACCCAGCAACAGCACTCAAGCAGCTTGCATTAGTCAGCGAGCCTTGTCGCACTGAGCGCGAGTTCCGAGTGCGCTGCTCGGGACGTTCAGTCGAGTTTTGGTCGAGTAAGTTGTGCACATTCCAGCATCCGAGGTTGAGCGCTTTACGCGAAGGCATACGATTCCGTTGGCGGGCAATCGCACGCGTAGTTACCTGGATTGGCGGAGGTAGTAAGCTAGGTAAAACGGGGATGAGAAGAGTATGTGCAGGGGAAAAGAAAGAAGGGGTTGCGCCATCGGTAACAGGTTTTCGCTTATCCACTTCGCTGCATGCAGCGGATAAGGCGACTCTTTTCCTAAGACCACTGCGCGACGGCCAGTGAAGCATGAGGTTATCTGTATTGGTGTAACTAATGGTTAGTAATTCGACTGACATAGTGTCAAGGCGTCCACGTTTGATAACAGAACGACTCGGGTCCTCAGACAAAGCCTTCTATACCATTTTCACTTTAAATTGGACATTTTGCAAACCAAACTGGACATTTTGCAAACCAAATTGGACATTTTGCAAACCACATTGGACATTTTGCAAACCAAACTGGACATTTTGCAAACCAAACTGGACATTTTGCAAAACAAATTGGACACGTTGCAATCTAAGTAGCAACTCGCCAATTTGTTGGTAAGAAACGAGCAGTAAGACTGCTGAATGATGTTCAGAATATACATTGTGATGACGCTAATACACCGGCATTGTGTAAGCAGCGGGCTACACTGTAAAACATTTGCTTGATCGTGAGCAGCGACCGAAGTTCTGAACTACGCTCCCCTCTCCCCATTGACATTCGCCTAGTTGGTGTGCAGTGCCCATACGCATCAACCTGTGTAGGTGTGTGACAATTGGAAAATCGGACGTCCGAATCGTAATTGTGTATCAATCATTTTGTGAGTGGATTGCGATGCGCAATCTCAATGTGCACCGTTATTCTCATTAGAGGGAACCTTGTCCGATTCGGTCAATGGGACCATGTCGGATGAAGCAGGTAGGCGGTGTCCCAGCTTCGCCCGTCTCTCTATTAGCTTTCGCAACTGCCACGTTATTGTATCAGCGTAGGCTGTAATGACTCCCAGCAAAACCAGTCTAGATCTATAGCCTATTGTTGCAACATATCAAATACTGAGGAGTGGGCCGATTACACGATGTTCAGGCCACATTGTGGATGACGCCTTGGTTATTCATTGCAACAATCAGGGTTACCATGCGACCTCTGACTGTGGGTAACACGACGTTCGCGCGCGTCACTCTTCTTGAGCGAGCCTGAGTTCGCCTCAGAGGAAGGTTGAAACCACTCGCATCTATGAAGATGCATTTTCCTTAGAAGGTGCATTTGCCGAGAACTCGAGAGTGTACGCCTGTCGGCTAGCGATTGTGTGGCACTGTTGACTCGGTCGAGCTCGTAATGACACTTTTTGAGAGTTATCTTTAGTCTTCTGAGGGCGTTGAAGACAGAGGATACTGATAGGTTTATCCCATTCTCTCTCAGGCGCATCTGCAGCTGCACCAACGTGTCCTCAGAGTGCCGTTCAACCGCTTCTTCGACACGCTGCAATACATTGGGAGTCAGCTTCTCCTTATTGTTTCCACCGCAGGTGCGCTGTGTATTTGAGCCTTCTCGCTTGTAGGCATTAATGATGTTCCTTGCCGTACTCGCGTTAACACCGGCGACTTCAGCGGCTTCCCGAGTACAAGTTTTGTGAGAAATTCTCTTTGCGCAAATGATGTTCGCCTGCAGTGCCGTCGCGTTGGACACCAGCTCTCCTGTTGTTCGTCACTCATTTTGGTCGTTTCGTGCGGCACGGAGCTAATAAAGCTAAGTTGTGTTGAGTGGAACCATTATCGTATGCTCGGCTCCAATAGTGGTACCGCTGCATAGGGTCGGTCCACACACCCAGACAAAACACACGAATTCCTATGGGGGGGTGTAGGGGAAAATAGGTCACCGATTTTGACCGAGGCGAACGGCACTCATGTCAAGAGAAGGGCTTACACAATCACCCGCTAAGTACGCAGTTCGGTTACATTATCGTGACCACAATGTGGCCTGAACATCGTGTAATCGGCCCACTCCTCAGTATTTGATATGTTGCAACAATAGGCTATAGATCTAGACTGGTTTTGCTGGGAGTCATTACAGCCTACGCTGATACAATAACGTGGCAGTTGCGAAAGCTAATAGAGAGACGGGCGAAGCTGGGACACCGCCTACCTGCTTCATCCGACATGGTCCCATTGACCGAATCGGACAAGGTTCCCTCTAATGAGAATAACGGTGCACATTGAGATTGCGCATCGCAATCCACTCACAAAATGATTGATACACAATTACGATTCGGACGTCCGATTTTCCAATTGTCACACACCTACACAGGTTGATGCGTATGGGCACTGCACACCAACTAGGCGAATGTCAATGGGGAGAGGGGAGCGTAGTTCAGAACTTCGGTCGCTGCTCACGATCAAGCAAATGTTTTACAGTGTAGCCCGCTGCTTACACAATGCCGGTGTATTAGCGTCATCACAATGTATATTCTGAACATCATTCAGCAGTCTTACTGCTCGTTTCTTACCAACAAATTGGCGAGTTGCTACTTAGATTGCAACGTGTCCAATTTGTTTTGCAAAATGTCCAGTTTGGTTTGCAAAATGTCCAGTTTGGTTTGCAAAATGTCCAATGTGGTTTGAAAAATGTCCAATTTAAAGGGAAAGTGGTATATATACACCCAATGGCAGCAAGGCGTGCGCCATGAGGCAGAGAACCGACTCACGCGAAACTGTTTGTGTTGTGGCTCAGTTAGAAAGAGTGTGTCGTCACGAGGTGAAGTCCATGACATGAGCCCACGGCACAATATCAGCAGCAGTGGTTTGACTATCTGTCAGGAGCTCGCCACCACAAGGTAGCTGGGACATACTAGCGGCATAAATTCAAGCAAATATCTAAACAGCTCTTATATGGACAATTTAGTGCAGGGTAGGGTCACGTGGGAAACCCGAAGCTACGTTACTAGGACTTGATCAAAATGAGTGTATCACGAACTAATGTTGATTTCAAGTGCTGGGAGTCATAAGTAGTTGATGGTCACGAATAACATGCGCTGATCAAGATAGAGGTTGTCCAGGTGTAGCAGAAAGCACAGGTACATGCGGAGAAACTCTAGAAACGGAAGCGACAGACGCCGATGGAGTCTGCCCCAATGACGTTAAGTGCATGGTGCTGTAGCAAATGCGGTCGAGAATGCCTAAGCCAAGCGGGCTTGGTAAGACATCAGTATTGCGACGTGAGGCCTGCGTCAAAAAGAAGACGAGTTAACTCAATGGTTCAGCATTAGCAGCGCATCGACTGGCAGTTGCGCTGCGTCCGCATCCATTCGATTTGCTAACCCAGGCTAATCAGGCGGTTGGTGTGGTACGTGCGTCGCATCGTCGTTGCAGTTAAACTGTACGTGTGGCTGCGTGTTGAGCTACCTGCATTTCAGGTGTTGGCTGTTTATTGATATATCCGATGTGGCTGAGCTTGATGTGAGTGTTGAACATATGCCTACCTGTCTAACACCTCACGCCTCGTTATATACTGGCTCCAGGAGACAGTTGGTCATTGCTGGAGGGGACGGGGTGCACGGACCTCGTGACGGTGCTAGGCTCAAAGACTGATTCCATGCATCCAGGGTGGAACGGGCTGCGGCCCAGCCGCCGCTTTGTGTACATCTGGTAAGCATGATTGCCAGTTAGGCATACATGCTTCTGCTCTGCTTATTGAAGGAGTGCGGGCCGGCTCCGATGGGGAAAGTTGCTCGCATCCACATGCCTTCCGGTCTTATTCCTTCCGGGTTTACACTGGATATGGAATGCGTGGGTAGTGCAGCGCAAGCCACCCATGGTCCCTCTGTAGATGCAGGCGTCCCGTGGCTTTCCTGTAAAGGCCGCAGTGACAGACAAATCCGGAGTTGAGTGCTGCCAACCACTATATACGACAGGAGAGCTAGGAGTTTTCTTCCTCGTTGGGCTCGTTCGTGTGTTGGCACATGCTTTACGGCCAGACGATGCAATGCAACCACATATAGTAATAATAAATAATGTGTCAGCTGAACGCCGTAACGGCGCTCCGCTGCCGCGCGACCACCACTAGTCGCGCGCGGGCTGAGTATACCGCGAGGACGCCCACCCCTACGCGGAACCACATATAGTGCAATTGCATAAATGGGACTAACTGCAACCGATTACTTAGCAGGTTATGGCTACATTACGCACCCAAGTGTAACCAACGACTAACCAGTAGACCAGAAGGGTGGAAGAAAGTGAGGGCTAAACGCAAACGTCTCGCTTTGCACTGAACGTATGTTATGCGCATATATCCCGAGTTATCTAGTAGAAAAAAGAACAAGCAAGTTTGCTCACCTTCGCACTCAGACCTTCCAGATCCTCACCATTTAAACCAACGAGTCGGTCTCCTGGAAGAACTGTGCTTCTCCCAGACTTGAGAACCAACCCGTCCGGAAGAAGGCTGTCCACATATAAGCCAGGAACGTCGGCGAAAGAGGGATCGCAATTAGGTGGCCGAGTGAGCCACTTAAAATTGATGCCAAGCGAAGGGGATGATCCACTTGGTACATCATTTGGCAGTTGGAATTCGTAGGTGAAAGATCGGAATGACTGCAAGAATAAAAGCGCAAAAAATGGATTGGAGCAGTAGACAAAATAAGACGAGATGCAGCAGAGCTGAGTTATAGTTGTGTTGACTCAGTCGATCTATCCTTCAAATGAAGCAACTGCGTAATTATAGCGTTTTTGAAATTCAACTTCCTGTGTTCACTAGGTCAATACCGTTGAATGCCAAACGGGTACGAATTACTTTTCTATATCATTCTAGGTAGTTGGCATCATAAATAACTGGGAGAAACCGCAGTACAGCCGGCCACGAGAGAAACAATCTGGCTGTACAATGCAGATGTGTGAGCACGCAGACAAATTATCTCACGGCGTGACCGAAGCAAGTCAGGTCAAAAGTAATCTCATATTTTGATTATTAGACAAACGTCACAGTAGGATGATCGTGAGTGGCAATAACGCAAATATTTCGGTGATTGTCGCATAACACTTGCTCGTCTGCTTTAATAATTGCACAACGGTCGGCAGACAGCACTCCTACGATATTATCGAGAGCATCGTGACAAGTTGCAAAATAAGGCACACGAGAAAAATGATGGACCAAGGGGTATCCCATTCAGCAACACAGATGGAACGACACAAGAGTGCGAGTAAGTCTGTTCCTTGTAGAGACCAATATGAGGTTGGTAACTGTGAGTTCGGAATCCTTGGGAGGGGCTCAACACAGCATATACTTGCATAATCAATTAAACACAAACACTGTCTATAGTGCTCTCTTGACTCATGTATTACTGGTTGAAATCCTCTGCATTTCCAAGCAGGCTTTACCGGCATATTCTGTCGAGCTCAGATACAACTTAATAACGAGCACTCCAAAGCTCTTCAGTGTGCATCAACGTTCAGCGTACATGCGTTCATCGGAAGTAAAGTTGACTGCGAGAAGAAAGCGGAACAAATGCAGTCAACGTAGGTTTGTAAAACACAGGACAACGGGAGAAACGGATAAACAGATAACAAGAAAATTAGATAAAGATCCGAACAGAGATTTGGATGAGCGAAAACGAGCCTGTTAAGCCGTCAGCATGTCGGTTACTCCTCTAACTTATGGTTTCGTGTACAAATGGATAACAAATGTTACATCGTACGTTGCATCAATTTGTACTGGTCACCCTTGGCCAGAGGCATTCGACTCCTGCAGATTGCGATCAAATAGGGCAACTGCGCATTCATGAGGTTTGGGAAATTCACCTTCCTGTGTTCAGCAATTCACCACCATTGCAGAAAGAAGATAAATGTTGAGATGTTAACATTTAAATTGTTCTTCGCAGTCACAAACAAAATACATGCAAGATGTAACCGAATGAGTATACGTGAAACTAACGTTCATGAACAGGATGCAACAAAAGTGTCAACGCCAAGGCAGTCTCATAGAGTGCCTCGATTGTTCCTGTGCACACAGGGTTGGACGATTCTGCGTGGTCAACAGTGTCTCACCTATGGCCAACCGTTTTGGATTCTTATCCCACAGGAATATTTTGAAAGCGGTAGATATGTCCACGTGATGACCAGTCGTCACGAGATGCTTTGCGATAGATTAAGCAAGGTTCCGCTTTATCGCTGGATGTCACAGGAAGCGCGTTAGTGAATGTAGCTTACGTCGAACGGTCCGCCGTGAAACTTCACCGCGACTATGGTCAGCCTGCCCCACTAACCAAACTCGGTTGGAGTGTGATCGTGTTATCCAGCGTTAAGATGTCGGAGCTGGAGAGATTCATTTCGTAAAGATTACCAACGGTGTTATGCCTGCTTGAAGACTTGTGACAGCCTTTTGAGGAATATGTAGAGCTGGTTAAACAGAAAATGAGAGTAAGGAAACAAAAGAAGTTAGTACGCTTAATAACCATGTCCTCCAGTTGACATCTCCGAATAACCCGCAGCGATGTGTTTAACCTTTCCAGTGTGTTACTAACCCAGACGCAGCTGAACGTATTGTCATTAGGTCCAAAGTTTTGCATCCCATGTAGGAAAATAGACCAGGCGGTTTCAGAGGTGCAGTTTGAAAGCCTAATTGCTTAGACTAAAGACCTGCTTCCAACCTCATCAAGTGATGTGGAGAATCTAAAATCTAGCCTAGCTCATACTTGTCATGAATACGTTAAGACCAAACGATCTAGTAATAGTGTTATCACTAGGGACCAAATTCAGTCACTTAAACAGCTACGGTTAAACAACGAATTAATAATCTCTAAGACGGACAAGGGCTCCGGCATAGTGCTAATGGACAGGGTGGATTATATCCATAAAGTGCAACACATCCTCAGTGACGAGAGTAAGTTTCAGAGGCTCATGACAGGAAAAGACAACACAGGGGAGTTAGAGGAACAGTTGACCGGCTACCTCAGGCGAACTATGCAAGCCAAACTCATCACGAAGATCGAATTCGAAAAGCTGAAGCCTTCAGGCGGACACCTACCGAGATTATATAGCCTGCCTAAAGTTCACAAGGAAGGCGCCCCAATGCGCCAAATCTTTGAAATGGTGGGTTCTCCTCAGCATCTGTTGGCCCAATGGATGGTGGCAAAGCTGCAGCCGTTACGAAATTTGGTTTGCAATTACTGCGTGAAAGACACGTTCGAATTCATGGTGATGATATCTGAAAGCAACCTTGTTAACAAAAGGATGATATCAATCGACGCCCAATCGCTGTTCACAAACATTGCATTGCTCAAAACCGGGGATTAGGTATGTATGCTTGCTCGTAAACTGCCCATATACGCAACCTTTCCGGAGAATTTGCTAAAGAAGGTGCTACTTCGTTGCACGTTAAATGTGCAGTTCACCTTCAATGGTGAAATGTACCATCAGATTGACCGAGTGGCCATGGGATCTCCCTTGGGGCTGCTGCTGGCTGATATTTTCATGGCGAAATTGGAACATGATCCACTTGCAACGCACATCCGTGAAACCGAAAAGTGCGTACGGCATGTTGACGACACCTTTGTACTTTGCAAATCAGAAAAGCATGCGGCACAATTGCTGAAAGCATTCAATGACGCACACGAGAATCTCCACTTCACTTGTGAACACGAACTCGGAAACCGGTTAACTTTCTTGGATGTAGAGGTTATCAGTAACTCGGACGGATCATGCAGCAGAAACGTACACAGAAAGCCCACATAGACTGGGCAGTGCACTAACTTCCACAGTGCAGTACCTCTACAGCATAAGCGGAGTTTAATCAGATCTCTCCTCTTCAGGGCGCGTAATATTTGTACACCGGATACCGTTAAGGAAGAACTACAGAGAATCAGCGACGCCCTCAGGGAAAATGGCTATCCTGATAAATTTATCATGAAGCGTTGGAAGGAACGCAATAGAAAGCCACCGACGAGCATTGCTCCTAAGAGAAAGCTTTTCATACATATAACCTTTAAGGGTGATTCCGCAGCTGATATGTTATCCTGACACTTGAAAGATGCTGTTGAGAAAACGTATTTCGCGGTCCTCCTGAGAATCGTTTTTCACAACAAGCCGTTGCTTACAAAACCATCGAAGGATAGACTGACGTCGCTGACTTGTTCAATGATCATTTATCAGTACTCATGCTCCTCTGGTGCAAGATACGTGGGTCGCACGAAGAGGCGCCCATCTCAGATGACTCGTGAACACATCCCGGCATGGTTTTACAAAGGCGAAATGAGGTCTTCAGACAGCTCAATCATGTCGCACCTCCTTGAATGTGGCCACACAGCTTCAGAGAATGACTTCAAAGTCATCTACTCACTACCTGAACACTTCTCCCAAGGATTCCGCAAACAGCTCTTATCCATCGCCGAGGCTATCTACATTCACCATCTGAAGCCGGAATTATGTGTACAAAAACGATTCATACGGCCGATACTACTACTTGAGCCAACGGACACTGTTACTTAGTTAGTTGGTTGTTATCTTACCCACTTAATTACTTTGGACTACTGAGCTTTGTGTATGCATGTTTATTTAGTTTACCTGGTTTACCATCTCTATGCCTGTCTCAAGTTATCGATTTTGATTGTTCAAACAGTCCAGCAGTCAATCCCAGCTTGAGTTGACGCTTTCCCCATAATCAGTGTTATGTAAACGTTCTGGTCCGATGAGTCTACCGAAAAGAATTCTTCACTCTGAACTGATTTCTGCTATTTATCCAGCTACGCCCTGCCGGATTTCTGTAGGCCGCAACAGGCTACCTCGTGCTCTTTTCAGTAGCCGACACCATCGCTCACTAAGTAAACGTGTTAAGATTTATTATTAAGTGTAGGGGGATTCGCATTAACTCAGTGAGAAGATATTTTTATCCCCACATGCGTCACAACGTCATTACCTGTTTATTGCCGGCTACTGGCGTATGACAGCTCACTTTGGTCAGGCTAACCTCCAGATTAATAGTCAGTGATTGATGAGGAATCGCTCGTTGTGGTGACAAATCTCCTGTTCGGTATGGCCAATGGAATATCTCAATCGAAGTGCTTGCTACGTACTTCTCCGCGAATGCCCGTATGCCCCAAGTGCTCACGAAATCTCATTGCTTACCGTGGCTACTTGAACAGAACAAAGCAGTTATCGTATGGCCCAACGCTGCACATGCGTGTGGGCCGGTGCAGTCGAACATATCGCGTGCTTACGGTCAACAGCCGTTGGTATGTGGTATAAATGTATATGATTCGCGGCATCCGGTTTCGGATTCGTCTGTCACTGTGGCCAGTCACAGGACGTCTGCGCTTAGAACGGGACCATGGGTGGCTTGCGCTGCACCACCCACAGCTCCAACCACACACCCCATATCCAGTATAAACCCGAAGGAATAAGGCCGGGGAGCACGTGGATGGGAGCCACGTTTCATCAACGGAGCCGGCCCACACTCCTTCACCGACAAACACAAACACGCTGTATTTTGGAACCAAGCGCACACAAGGCGGTGGCTGGACCGTAGTCCGCTTCACACTGAATGCATGGAACCACTCTTAGAGCCTAGCACGACCACAAGGACCGTGCACCCCGTCGCCTTC